AAAATATTATAAATAAATACAAATATTATTCTTAAATACTTGATTTTTTTTATAAAAAAAGACAGGTATTTTTTGAGATAGAACGAGCATAATACCAAGTCACATGAACGGTTTTCATCCAATATGGCCTATAAATGGAACATTGCATATAGTTATTAGTTTAGTGCCCCCATTTCTAAATCAAGAAAAAGATAGTGCCCCTTATTGTAAGCCATCGATGATCCCAAAACAGAAAATACAATTGTAGTTCCAAAGGATAGATGGGGCAACAGTTGGATTTAGAACTAAAACGGTATGCATCAATACTTAAATTTAGCATATCATCAATCATGGATCTGGTAGTAAAGTTATTTATAGTTTTAGCCATAGGTTTAGAATTCAACCTCTAGTCTCTACCTCTACATACCAAAAAAAAAAAAAAAAACTAAAATTAGCATAAAATATACACTCAAAGTCTTGAATACAGTTATATATATATAACGTGACCAAAGAAGTTAATATCTAATGCTTCATTTAGCAAAGAGTCAGTCTTAGAAATGATCTCAGATCAGAATATATGTAATTGTTATTTGCTAACATTGGATAATTCTTCAGCACTGCCATTTTGACAGACGTATGAGCTGGGGTATGGATATTGCTTTAAAATGAAAAAAGGGGCACTGCTGCAACAAGTGTTTGAGAATCTCCTGCTTACTTCTCTCCTTGTAGATTTAAGCCGCTCCTGCACCATGTATTTACAATCAACTGGATACAACCTGAAATTATGGAAAATCTCAATTTGAGAGTCAAGGTTATGGGTTCAAATCTTTGCATTTATTAAACCAACTAATCTCCTCTCATACCAAAAAGAAGTGCTTTAAGAAAAGTTATTTACTTTTATTTATTTATTTATTCTTGGTCAATTAAACCAGATATTTTGCATGTTCAGACACAGATGGCTTAAAGTTCTTTTCATTTACATATGAATATGAATGCAAGATGGCTGCTTTCAATAAAGGGTTTGACCCAAGTTCATTAATGTTCTTGATAGTAATTTTGAAATGCTGATATATTCAACTCTGAAATTAAATATACATCTATGATTGAAATGCAGAGCAACACTCAACAGGAAACACCAGACATCTTGCTTTGATGCATCATTAGTGAGATGACACTTGCAGCCTCTAAGTCAACAAGATCTAAAAGGGACCTAACTTTGAAAGGTCCATTAGCATCAGACATAAACATATCTTGTGGTCTAATAAATGGAAAGTTAAACCTCATTTAGCCAAAATGACATTGATAGTCAAAAACTCACCAGCAATACAAAAATGCATCCACGGGCCACAGCATCCCTTCACCAGCCAAGTTTATTCAAGAAGTCCTTAGTTCGCTTCCTCATGCGTGTAAAAACAATAACCATGCAAGCAAGGACCCATGGAGGGAAGTCTCCTCCAAAGATATTTAATTTCTTGAGCCATTCAGGTGTGTCCCTAAGTACCAATGTTATAAAAACGGTTATAACAGCTACACCAATCAATATCCTGGTCACAGGTTTGATCAGGGAATCCTGCAAATAAAAAAAAATAAAAAGAAAAAAGAAACCCAAAACTGATGTGAGCCAAAAAATAGCAACCAAAGCACAAACATAACAAGTAATAAAAGAGAAAAATGTCCAGCCATTAGGCAAGCAGGGAGATACAACAACATTAATGCAACTTTTACATGGCTGCAAACATCTGTAATGATGGATCTTTCTGAAGTTTTAATCAACAGTTCCACAAGGAATTTTTCCAGGAAAATACACAATGCATCAACTCTTTTAAGCTAGGATTTAATTGATTTACATGAAAAATTAACAACCCTTTCCATCAACTAAAAATAAAACATGCCAAGCCATACAATTCCCAATTCCTCAATCTTACTTCTAGCTCAAATGAAAAAGAAACCAGAAAAATTAATTAAAACTTAAACATGATTCATATAATCAGAGGCAAAATCTATAAGATATCTGAATATAGCTGATATATTCAAGAGAATTTCACAATTAATAAAACAAATAATGAAATCACCGTAGGTTCTCCATCGATGTAAACCACCGCTCCATCCTTGTATTCAAGCATCGACCTTCCGTTCCTGGGATGGAACCTGATAGGAACTCCGCGACCCGATCCGGGATTGAAAGCGTATATCGACTTGAACCCGTACTTCTCGAGGATGTCGCGGACCTCGAGCTGATCCTGCTCCCATCCTCCCAAGTTCGACTTGAAGACGGCGATAGGACCCTTGCCGCAGCGATAGAGGTGGATTTCCACTTCCGGCACCTTCACCGTCGCGGCCGTCGCGGTTTGGATCGGAGTCGGATCATCTACGGACCCGTCGGTTGGGTCGCGGGTTGACTCTTGGATTTCTCCGATTTCTTTCTCCGTTTCTGTTTCCATCTGTTATAAAATCCGGCGAATGCTTTCTCTTTAATGGTAGTGTTTATTTATCGTAGTTTGAGCCGGCACGAAACGCACCGTTTTAATTAAGGTTAGGGTTATTTTCCTGATAGCCGTCAAACTTTCAAAGTTTTACTCATTTGCTCCTAAAAACATTTTGTTTCTGTCAATTTGATCCCATTCCAAAATGATGCCGTTTGATGACTTTTTTAAAGTGTTGTCTAGTAAATTTATATAATTACAAAATTATATAAAAGTTACTAAAAATAATTTTACAATAGGAATTTAACATTTTAATGGTTCATGTTTATGAGAAAATGCACTGCTTAGTGTCAAATTTCAATATCTCAACATTTATAAGATTCTAACTTCTTTTGTTACAGATGAAGCAATAACTTAAATTTAAGTTAGCAAACAGAAACGGACTTGCATTAAGGTCAAAAAGAAAAAGGAAGTAACCTTCAATCGAAACTTGAAAATAATTATTTGTAATCACTCCAACTTTTGATGAAATAAAAATTTTCATTAGTTATGAATATTCTTTTATGATACAAGTATATGACTTGCCTGACACATTTATTGACACCAAATATGGTTTCCCCCAAGACGAGATTTGATCTCATGTTTCTAACATAATTCAAATCACTTTTTTATCTAATTCACTTGGTTATGATAAATATTATATATGAAAAAAAAAAGAAGAAAGAAATTATCCATTTTTTAGAAAGGTTAAATGTCAATTTTGATTTTTCAACTTTAACATTTACATAATTTTTATTTCTCAAAATTTTTATGCATTTTCTTTGATCTATTGATTATGAAAAATCTATTTTTTTAGTTTTTTTATCAGTTAATTTGTTAAATTTGTCCAAATATCCACATTTTTAATGAGGGATTAAAAAAATGTATATAGCTTAGAAGTTAAAGAACTAAAAATGTGTAAATTCAAATAAACTTGATGGATTAACTGACAGAATGATTAAAAAAATGTATTTCTCGTAGTTAAGGGATTAAAAAAATGTATAAAAAATTGAAAGATGAAAATGATATAAAACCTTAAAGTTGAGGGATCAAAATTGACATTTAACCTTTTAGAAACCATTTTTCAAATGTTCCTGGAAAGTAACAATACATTCATTATATTATGCATCTTCCAAAGGCTGCTCAATGCCATTACAAGATGCTTTAATACAAGAAATGAGATTGCAAATTAAGAAGAGTGTTGCACTTCTCAAAACTTTCTAGTAAAATTCAAAACTACCCTGCTTGCCAAAAGAACTAGGATCAAATTCTAGGACAACCACCGCACAAAATTCTCAGTTGTGCAAATCCAACCTTCCTAGTAATATCATAGCAAAACTTCAGCATAAAACCGTCAATGATGCAAATCCAAGTTCTGTAGCTGTTTCATCTTCCATCCATGTATGCTTTGATTTGGAATAACAGAAAATGTAGAAATGCAAGTAGTATAACATGATGCGAGAAAGAATAGGTTTCTGTGCCATATGGTTGCAAGTACGTCATGGAGTCAAGCCAAAATGCACAAACAGGAGCTGCACAGCAAATATATAGAGATTACAGTAAGCATGCAAAATTCACATGAATGGCCCAGATTGAAAGAACCAGCGAAAGGCAGACTCAACAAGATGGATTGAGAATCACAAACCCTATAAAAAGATGTAACATGACTATGTAATGTCTGCTGACACTAGCAGAAGCTAAGTTAGTTAACCAAGATTGAAATGGATTAGATAAAAAGACAGCTAGCAGTGCCATATAGAGATAATTATGGTTGCATGAACTTTCCAAAAGTATATGAACAGGAACATATGATATCATCAAGGAATATCAGTCACTTACATGGACAACACTAATTCCAGAACATATGTGACCATATATGTAATATATCATCAAATGTGCATTTGTTGCTACAGTGTGTGACCAAGTGCAGGGTTAGAAAGCTCACCCATTTTCATTGGCAAGGGCCATTCTCTCTTGCATGTGTTGATTTGTTAAAACTAAAGGATAAGTCTAACCACCCTGCCACCTTTGCTCTTTGAACATAATGCACAAATTGTTTCTCAGCATCTGGAACATCAAGAGCCAAATCATCAAGAGATTCTGCTACCCTCCCAAAACCCTTTGTCATCTGATACATGGTTATAAGTCCAGAGTCAAAACACTCTTCAAGCAAACCCCATAGTCTTTCATTCTTCTTCTCCATAACTGTCACCAGTGCTTTCTTAACAACCTCATGGTGGAAAAATGGCATGCCTAACTCCTTTATACACCTATAAGCTTCTCTAACATCCCCACCAGATTCATACTCCTCTAGAAGCTTGCGAATTTTGTCTTTGACATCCTCAACTGCCCATCCAGGCCTGCCACTTTCACCACCACCACCCCAACACCTTAAGATCCGTTCCCCAGAAAGTCGAGCCTTTAACAAGGACTTTGTCATTTGAAGTACTTTGCTCCCAATTGATTCCAACCCCCAAAATTGGCTCCCAATCTCTTCCAAGTGCTGTGGAGCCAAGACTTCATCCACCACTGCTCTGGCCAAAAACATGGCAAGATCCTCAACAACAACTGGATTATCTAAAGCAGTGTCATCTGCAGACTCTATCAATATCACAAATCCATTCACAACATC